CAACATGAATATAAACTTTGGAGAATTAGGAATTTATCCTTGAGTGTACGGCCCTCATCACTCATCTTGACTKTAAACTTGATAAAGGACCTTTAATAGTCACGTTAATCAAGGAATCTCACGCACTAAGCTCAGGAACTTGTTACAGGCCAGCGTCATTTCTATCAGCATTACAAGTTACTTGATAAGTGCATGGTTTGATACGTTAAAGCAATGGAAGTGGAGCTAGCGATGGTTTATCTTTTTTATGGTAAGATCCAAGATTTGTGAGTCTTAATATAGGGGAGTAAGGGGTTTGTATGATGACTCTTGGACGTACGAGGGCCTTTAACTAATCAATTAATCAAAATGTTCAAACTGTTTTTTATATAACTTTCTTATATTCATTTTATTACATATATTTTATTACATGTATTTCTTACTTAAGAATATCCCAAAGCGTATTTATGTACAAGGTATCATGAATTGAAACAAATTTCATGTTTCATTTTAAAATGTTTTGAACTTGGAACTCTCATAAATAAATAACGTTGACGAATGTAAATGAATAGTTTCTAAATCTATAATTGACCGCTCCACGATCTCCGTCTCAAAACGGTGTCAAAAAACCCGCCTTTTTTCTTGAGACTTTGGTGATTCATACATGAGCGAATTGCCTCGTGAACGGCTTTTAACGTCTCAAGATAGCCATCTGATATCGATATCTGGTAAAACGAGCAGCCTATATGTTGTGCGAGAAAACGCCCCTCGTATTCTTCGACTTCTTTTAAGTGTCTAAGGTCGTTTTTWGTCGCTACAATAGTGATACAAGCAGGGTCGATGTTTCGGGCTTCGTTGAGGTGTTTGCTAAGCTTTGTAGCGTCTGTGAATGAAGAGCGGTCGGTCGTTGAATAAAGAACAAAGAAGAGCTCTACGTTTGACGTACTGCAGTCTAATCTTGCCAATGAGCTCTGTGGAATACAAGAGAATTATGTTAAGAAAGTTACTTTTCAAACCTTATTATTTCAAACGWTMGCGATTTATCAACTGCGCATGCTCTAATGTTTTCCGAGTACGCTTTTACCACATGGCTGCTGCAATGAATTCAGATCTATATATTTATAGTTAAACTAGTCATACAAATAAGGGTTATATTTAAAACTTTGTGGTTCCTTACATTTCCCATCGAGTCCAAGATCTCCACATTCAAAGAGTGACCGTCCATTTCAATGTTATTTTTGTATGTACACTCTGAAAAACCAAAATAATCAAAAGTTAATTATGAAAATATACGATTGAAATTACCCATGTTCCTTTTCGGCCTGTTGAGTAATTTATTACTTTTGACAATGTATTTTCACAAGCTGTAAGTATCTTACCGAATTTTGAGTCGTACTCTCCAATGAAACGTCTTGTTAGTGCTCTAACTATAAACGCTGAAATGACAATTAAAACAATGCATTAAAAATATTGATAAAACATTAATAATAACTTATAAACTGATTTTATATAAGTCAATAACAATAATTGTATATTTCATATATATTTAAGATAAAGATCCAGCCAATTGAAGAAATTCTGACTGATAACTGATAGGATGGTATATATTTCAAAAAAGCCTTTGATTTGCAGTTAAACTGGAAAATTTGATTTGATGACCCTAAATACTATTTAGGGACGCATAATTAAGTTTGATTGACTTGCAATCTTGTTTGGCTACAAAAGGGCGAAAACAACACTAAGTTACCGACGATACACGCCATAAAATCATTACAAAATCTTCAGTCAGAATTACTTATGCATATGAATGTAAAGAAACTGAAAATTGAAATTGAAAACTGAAATTGAGAATGTATGTTGCAAGTAGCCTCGGTAGCAGGCGAATACATAAGACTTCTGCAACGGAGGTTACAGCGAACGTAGACGTGGAAGAACGCCCATAAGGATAGAATAACAGAAAATAACGTTATCAAGGAGAACAGGACCAATAGACCCACAAAGAGGGTCAAAACGATCGATAATTAAAGACGTCACAGAGATTAGTACATTATCTTCACTTAACTCCTGTTATACACAACGCTACCATTTGACCGTATTTGTACATAAAAGGAGGATTTCTTTACAAATATTCAGTAGCTAAAGAGTTCAAAAGCGTGTTTACTTTTAAGAGCTTAAAATATAGCTTCTTCGTGCGCTTACTCGGGCTTCCTGTAGTGATAAWCGTAATTGATTACTAAGATAGCGAGTGCGCAAAGCTGACAAGACCAAATTTAAATTATTTTCATTTAAAACAGTTATTGAACTCACAAAACAATTGTGTTAAATAGTAGATGTTTCTCGACAACTTCGCCCTTTTCTACATTACATAATTTGTCAAGCCTTAGAAAATCCCTTCGTTTAGTAAATTCAGCGCCTGAAAAAAAGAGGCATAATGTGCCTTGTGTGGATGCCAGGCCTTAATTTGTTTTTGTTGCCTCGTGACTTTGTAATTGCGTGACTATCATACAATTATCATCGGGTTTCGTTGGTGATTAGCTGATTCAAACTACGTCCGGTGACACGTCGTGTGATTCCTAATGAGTTTCCTGTATTTATCTGATGCTTTTCTTGGCGGGAAATCCTCGTACGTGAGCGCGTTTTCAGTATTCAGCCGCGCGCACGTCAATTGGTTCCGTATGTCTACACGAATCAATTTGTAGCATGAATTTTCTGCTTGAATATTCAAACATTTGTTTAGTTATGCGTAGAAGGGGATTTAATGTTAACTAAGCTCGAAATGACGCGGTAAATTTTTACAAAAATTGTACAAGATAAAAAAGGTGTGTGCATTCAACGTGTCACGGAAGAGAAAATTTTTTAAGAAAATTCACAGGATATAAAAGGCATATTTCAGTTTAAAAGTGCTAAATAACTAGGCGAAACGTTCAATAAAATGAAAAAAAAAACATCTCTTGACGTCAACGGAAGGTCTTTGCTAATGCGTTTGTCTATCAATGTTGATGAACTAAACATTACTGCTCCGGCTGTAAGAGAGCTGCATTTAAGTAATAAACGCTGTCATCAAACAAATGTATGAAACTCCTAAATCACCGAAAACTGTCACTTAAAAAATTGGAGCTTGTTGGTAATTAGATGGATTTTGCTCACATGGCGCCTTSACTGAATACGTCCGWGTAGGAAGCCAGAAACTCGAAATATTGGCGCGGTGATTTGAAAATGTTTTTAAACATATTTAAGAATCATTATTCGAGCTCGAGACTTAAGCTTAAGCCATTAAACACAAGTGCCAGTCAAGGTATTAAAACACCCAATAGAGGGTTGAAAAAAAGCGAGGCGTAGTGGAGTTTTTCGTTTTAATCTCGCCTTATAAGAGATTCATAACAATCCTTTCTGAAAAACACACAAAGCGATGGTACTCTTATCTGAGATATCGTGCTCAGACTTACTCGCGAAATTCTTGACCTACAAAAAAACTGATAAATATTACAGTTATCAGAGACATGATGTACCTGAGATATCTATTGTATTTAGTGCTATAGAAGTAATGACCTAGCTTAAAACTTTATCGCCAAAAAGCTCATTTCGTGTTATGATTATCGTGAATTGACATTGGCGGCGTTCTTACATGTGATGAATAAAGCTTTATTCCAGTGTTTACGACATTAAAGGCTCTTACTGAGTAAAATGGCCAATATTTCGAAGAATACAAAAGCACAGTATGTGGTAACTTGATCAACAATACTGTGTTTCATAATACGAATACATATTAGGGATTAAAAAAGATGTTGACAATATTTCATTAATGAAATATTCAGTACGTATCTTTGGAGAAGATCACTTGATATCTAGCCAGTTGTCAATGGTTTGTGCTGAGTGCGTCACTGTTTATAATATGAAATCCTTTTAGTGTTGTTTTGTGCAACAGTTTCTCGAAGGGGGAGGAGGGATGGGGTCTTCTACTGTGCCGTTTTCGCTAACGGGCAAAGATTCAATCTTCTCCGCTATTCGAAATATCCTTGTTGTTATTATTAAAAATTCAAAGGTAATTTAAAAACGTTTTTTTTTTTCAATCAAAATTAAAAACTGTGTTTCACATCGCGCGCGGTTTTCGATTAACTATAACATTTTTGAAATAGAGAAGCATGTATTGCCTTAAAAGCATTTTATGTTTAGAAGATAGAAACATTTTCATATGTTATGCTTATACAAATATAATTTTCATGTTTTAGATTTGACGAAGTTTGTTTGAAGAAAACTTAATATTGACGTCAAGCTCAGAGTATAGTCGTGCGTGATACATTTTGTTCCTTTCTCAAAGATCGATGATTCATTTTACGAAGAAAACACTTTGTTTATGTCATGAGTAATACACTTAAGTGATAACAGACTCTCATTTTTTTTTTCTTTCTTTGATTGACGAATGTCGTTTGAGATGTCGACACATATATTACGAAATGAAGGCTGAAAACACGAGAAACGTTTCTTTAAGCATAGTTAGTACAGGGAAATTCCCCTCTACTATGCTTTAAGCTAGCAAAGAGGATACCATACTTTTTTACTATAAAGCTTGTTAAAGTACTATTTTAGTCATGAACGAGAGCTCAAAAATGACAAAATTTCAATACAAAAGAAAGAAGAAATTTGCTCTCTWACCWGATTTCCCAACGCCATCTTTCCCTAAGACYGCTATATTCAAACTTTTAATATTTTGTCCTGAGCCCCTTCGCGCTCTTTTTGGTGAGCTATTCGCCGTGTGCACGGGTTTACTTGGAAGCGTCAAGTACTCCTAAATAATTATAAAAACAAATTGTAAATTACTTTGAAATTACATATCGAAAAAAATCGAAATATTAAAAGTAACATTTCTCACCATAACAATCGATGGATATCTTTCAATAGAAGCCTCTTTAGATCCTTTCTGTAGCGTGTTCACTGATAAACTGCCTAAGTGAGTTAGCGCCAGTTGAATTTATACAAGGCCGAAGAGGTCAAGAGGAAGACCGAATCGAAAACACTAATTTTTGCACGGCTATATCGATAGCGAATGACGTCACGAGCTTCAAACGCGCGCGTTGATTAGAAAATCACCATTGTGATTTCCCTTCCTGTTTAGAGCACATGTTTAAAAAATATTTTCAATTTCAACACGCAAAAAGCTTTTGGAGACTCTACTACTCTTTGTAATAATCTTGTTAATCGCTTTAGGCGAAGAAAGGAGCTTAAAGAACTGTGAAACTCTCGGAAAATCGGAAAAGGAGAGTTCTTGACTGAACATTTCGAGTTTTTCCCGCCATTATGGGCTAAGGTTATTATGATAAAGTAGTAAGCTCTTTAGTGGGGAAGAAAGTGGCTGTGTTCGCAAAATAGAAAGGGGCCAATAATTTACGACGCAAGTATTTTATTTATCTTCAGATCCAATGTCAAAGTTCCATAAGATCATTTTCTCTGTGACGCACATCAGTTGTTCATCTCTTTGCGTTAGGCTATATAGCATTCCAAAGTCAAGTGGCTTAGCTGTAATACTACCAAATATGAAACGATATATTTTTCGCAGTGGCTTATTAAACAGAGCATAGTCACCCCGATTCTTCTGCGATTTAAAATAAGTTCAAATAGATGTCATTGTGTGGGTTTGAATTTCAAGTCTGTTTARTTTGTTTTTGGAGTTGTATTTATGTAACGTTTCTATAGAAGGTTATATATTGAAAATAGAGTCCTCAACGTTCCAACACCCACTCACCTCATAAAGCAGAACCAGTATATAAGTATCSAAATGCGCTTTTAATTTTTTTGTCCTCAAAATGATAAAAAATGGTACAAAAACGCCGCAAGAAGGCGTAGGCTTAGAAATCTACTTTAAAAGTACTACGAAAAAGTATGGCAAATCGATTTACATTGTATTTTTAAAATAATTCAAAGAGAATTTTTTAAGAATAACAGAGATTTTATAGATCCATCAAAGTCCATATTATGGAAATGAAATTATCCTGAAATTATCAATATTTACATTATTTTCACAAGGTTTTTTTTTACACTTTTTACAAAGTGTGAAATATCTTTTTCAGTGATCAACTATGACTTCCTTAGTGAATTATCACCTTATCGCTTCAAATCAGAAAAACGTTCTAACCTCAATGCATTTTAATGATCATTATCTCAAAATGTTTCTAAAAATGGAAGATACTTTCCCATTTAGTAACGAGTATCCGTTGTGGTTGTGAATAACTCTTTTTGACTGTCATTCATGATGGTCAATATTAATGSAGATGTATGACTTTAGCCGCTGGCAAAATAACCGACTACGTACAGTCTGCACTGTCTTTATTAAATCCATTCCTTCATGTAGTCGATAGTGTTGACAGCAAGACAAGAAACTAAGTCCCCGAGGCTATGTTCAAAATGAAATTCACTTCAGAATCACATGTATTGATTTATTCATAAAGCTTTTTTTCTATGACTGTTTTAGCGCAGCTAAAAATAATCGATTTTCACCATAGTTATGTTTTCACAATACAAGTATGTAGATATCCTGAAGAAGCCTTGTAAGGCTACAAAGTATCGAATGTTTGACTATATTTCGGTTTTCAGTTAATATTATTGCAAAATTTTGCTATAAAATCATTTCTGTAAATTTTCTAGTTACGTAAAATCCTGTAAAATTACTCTTAATCTGGAATTCTACACTGTTATATACTTCATGGAAGTCGATGTTGTTGCTGTTGCTGCTGCTCCTGCTCCTGCTGTTGTTGTTGTTGTTTTTGTTTATCACATTGACCGCTTTGCAACTCATTTTACATATATTTTTGAACAAAATTTAGATATTGGGATCCAAAGGATTTGGTAGCCTAAGGCCAGAAATAATAGTACTAAAGATGCGACTTTTCTTATGTCGTGTTGAGTGATGACAATCCTTGGGGTAAAATGTAATTGGGAGGTCTGCAGTCTACTACACGCAAGAAAATGTGATGGGTTCAGGTGCATTAGCACGTTTTAAAACAGCGAATCTCTCAAGTACAGACATCAATGCAATTCACTCTTATGCTTTTCTCTGCGTTTTTATCTCGTTGCGTCGAATTCGACCCATGTGAAAGTCGGTGTTAACAACTTTTAAGTTAAAAAAAAAGTGGGGTGTTAAACTAGAAAAGCAAACGAAAAGCGTCGGAACTAGTTAGAAATTCAACGTCGTGTTGAGCAATAAAAGAGCAGACTGGATGCTAGACTAAGTTGGTTTGGTTAAACTGTAAGGAGAATCGAAATAAGGAGAGATCGCGAACTGTTTTGAATGTAATGTCCCATCCGCTGTATTGACTAATGCCGCACAGCTCGCAATGCATGCTGGTATATTAATATTTTTTGTGTGTGTGTACAAATGGAGAAAATAAACATCAGAATTGACGAGTCGTCAAAAACCTTCTCGTAGAGCGCATGGTCCACGTATATAATGAAAAGAGAAAACAAAACCTCGATTTCCATAGATTAAAGTTGATTGTAAGCTATAATGTCACATCCGCCATATTGACGGATGCACAACTCGCAATGCAGGCTGGTATAAATATATTTTTAAACAGAAATGGAAAAAWTAAACTTCAGAAATATTCGAAGACTACTTACTTGAATTCAAACAAGTTGGATTATATTTTTACTATGGTTAATTGATTTGWGTTGTTGAAYCACACGCTGTGTGCTCATYATAAATTGATACAATTTTTGATTATTCTAGGTGCCGGCTAAAAACACAGCCTAGGCAACACTTTATAATGTAACRTTATATGAAAGGGATTCTGCTTGCATGCGTCAATGTCGTTTAAGAACAGAGCATACTTTCGACTTATACGCTGACACTGTCAACTTTTTAAGCATGACATGGACTGTTATTTAGTTAATGAATATTTTAGTTTGAAATTTCCTTTAAATGGGTTTCTTGAACAGTAAAATAATACTTAATATAAAGTAATTTGTGTACAAAGTTGTTTATGTATTATTTCGAGTTGATCTTTGTTATATTGACCCATTCAGACTCATGAACAACAAGTTATCGAAAATTATAAAAATAATTGGTTATAAGAATTGTTCAATTCAACTTCCGACGTAAAATTGTAAAATTAGCTCGCATGTGGAAGTAGTCTAGATATAATCATTCTCTGAGCATTGCTGCTATCTAGATAATGATTTTTAACATTTTTACCAAATTTGTATTGATCTTTTAGAATTGTTCAAGAGGTTTTTGAATRTTTGTTCTCAGTTTTTGGAGCAACATGATTATGTAGTCCYCTGACTATAGAGACTATAGACTATAGATTCATTTTATTTATATATCATGTTATAAGATTTGCCCACTCTTTCGTTTTGAAAAGCTCTGCTCTTTCTAAAGTTACGACGCACAGTTCATAAAACAATAAAAGCGATTCTCCGTGCAGCACGTGTAAGATTAGCATTTGAATGGCTTCTTTTACTCCAATCAAAACATAAAGGCATTAAACCAAATATCCAATTATTATCAAGTTCACACTAAACATGCATATAAATGGATCATGGGGTATAAAAATGAACAAGCKATTCATCGCAAGAAAACATCTCATCATAAGAGTCCGTTTATCAAAAATCATGGAGCATCGTAAACCAGACAGCTTCGCCRCTCCACCACATCCGTTTCCTTTTAACTTTTACAACAACTCCGGTACTTCCTCGGGATATCTGAATTGCAAGTTTRCTGAGCTGAATAAACCAAAGAGTTTTTGTCCCGAAGTTAAGTCTTTTAGCATTGACTCTCTGTTGAATCGCAAGTGTGTTAGCCGGGCGAGCTWTGCAGACGAACAAGTTCCTCGTATCGCAAGCAAGCAAGAACTTCAAGGCGGTTTTTTCTGCAGAGAAGTGAAATATGACGCGAGAATTCCTCAGAGGTTTCGCCCATATACATTTTTCTCTTCTGGRAGTAGTAGTTTTGAGCAAGACAGCGGAAAGGAAAGAGGTATGTTTGCTTTGGGAAGTAAGGAGTTAATTTTGTAACTTGTACAAATATTGTTCAAAAGTGTTGGGAGTTAAACACGTTAAACAGCTGTATAGAAATAACATTTGCTTAACGGTGTTAGCAAACAAAGTTGTTGTTAAAACAAAGACTTCAAATAACTTATATAACAGTCGTAATATAAAGAAAAACTGAAGAACTACAGAAGAATTAACTCTCACTTGTGGAGACTGCGCCAAAATAGCGCTCAAATCAAACCGCACTTGAATTTGACTCCATAAAATCAGCTAATAAACTTATTCGAGGGAAAATCTCCTCAGATTTCTCGAGGTTTATTCAATCTGAAAGTATGAGTATAATTGAGAGAAACAACATTATCATAATTACCGATATTGAGCATATTATATTTATTAAATCTAGATTAGCTTTCGCCAGTAGACAGCCTGATRAAAAGAAAATCTGTTGACTTCTTATTGGGCAATTAGCGCGTTTATAAAGCTAAACAATTCATCAAACAAATGAGTTTCTTTGCTTGGGGATTAGCAACTTCTTAACAAAGAKGCACCTCTGTTTTCTTTSATGTTTGGCAGGTTTGCTTTGCTGCTTGGCTACTGAACGTTCATTTTGGGAACGCGCTTGTTTAAAGCGCCACACTGTGCTCTCCAGTGGAGTTCAATAAGAGACCACAGTGTCTCAATCTAAGCGATGCTCAGTTGCTAGGTGAAGTTACTAACTGTAAAGAATGTTCGCTTTTTAAGACGTTAATTTACAAATCTATGGGATTATTCATTTAGGATGAAAAGAAAAGCCCATTTGTGTTCCTTTGAATGCCTATTTACCAAAAGCAATTTATTTAAAAACCTAATTTAGCATGGTGTTTATGAAATTATATCGTAATTTTTCGCGTTATGAAAATCGTATTCGTGCATTGTTTTAAACTGTTTAAGTTGTAAGGCGTTAATGGGATAAAGTTTAATGATATTGACTTATTATTGCTCACCATTGCCGCTTTTGTATATCATTTTCAGTGGTGTTCAAAAATGAGAAAATAAGTGTTTATGCYATSATAAAAAAACAGCTTATTTATCGACTCGTGTCTTYARTTTMSRAAATTTTCCAATATTTTGCTATATATATAAAGAAACAAGAAACTTTCTACACCTGTACACTGCCTAGGGACTCTTGTTAGTTTGTAATATATTGTTTATGCGTTTATGGATCGCTTTCGGATTATTTTTCAACCCAAGAACGGAAAGCTACATCACAAAGTTGAGATCTTGATTCTTAAGAGACGGACTAATAAGCAATGTACTTAAAAAAGCATAAAGAAAAAGAAACATAAGGGTTTTTGCTTAGGCAGCAAAATAAACATCCAAATATTCCGTATTCTATAAACGATTTTATCGCTAGCTAATTCAATCTCCAAAAAATAGAAAATAGAACTTTAATTGCCAATGATTCAAAAGCGTTCCAACTTTTTGTTAGTATACGTGCAACCTCAACCATCAAACYTTCGCCGCCTTTTGGCCATGGTGTTTTCGCCACCTTCAAGCAAAKCTTCACGGAACCCGAGCTGTTGTCGAGTCTTTTGTCACATAACCTGATATTCACAAATGAGCATGCAGGCCTAGAAAGTACTATTAGTGGAATTAGGATATCTGTGGATGTAAATAACATAATGGGTGGTTAAATTGAGCTGTAATACTGCATGATGGTTGACCTTGATGATTCATTTAGCCTACGCAAATCGGTTCGACTTCTAACTTAGATTGAAGTTAGTAAAAGTGACTGATGATCGTCTAACCTTTTTAATGTTTGAAAAAAAAATGTTTTTTTTTCTTAGTTATTAACAAATATAAATTAAATTTTGTTCTCTTCGCAGGAGATGATGGGAGGGAATCCGCTGGCAAGAAGGAATGGCTACGRCTAAAGCCCAAGCGCATGCGCACWATCTTRACAGTCGAACAACTCGAACGAATGGAAAGCGAGTTTGATAGACAGCAGTACATGGTTGGAGCTGACAGGTAGGACACTGAAATGGTTTAGAAACAAGGCATTTGAGCACAGGGGGACCACAAAATAACTACAATCATTTTGATATGTTAGTATAGAAAAAAAACAGGAAGTGGCATCTATAATTTAAAGATATTTGAGACTTTACTTCAACGACGCCCGGTACATGATCACGTTGCATGATGGTTGTTAGTTCACGTTGCATTATGGTCGTTTTATGACCAAGTTGCATCCTGGACTAACTATTACCGTGTTGCATCATGGTCATCTGATAACCGTAGTGCATCATGGTCGTCTAATTACCACATTGCATCATGGTTGGCTCAATAGCTGTTTCTTTTTAGGTACTTTCTMGCGAATGAACTGGGGCTGACTGAGACTCAGGTTAAAGTTTGGTTTCAAAACAGACGAATCAAATGGAGAAAAAACATCTTGGAGAAGCAGCACCGYCAGCTCTCTAAAAAGAACAGTACAGACTGAAAATAATTGAATGGGTTTCTAAGAAAAACTTTATAGCTTCTCAAAATACATTGTCACATTTTTCAGATAATGTACATCTTCAGATCGATTATCGATTTCAAGAGTATGAATAATGTTTGTACAATATGGATGCAGGATGTATATAAAAGCTTTGCATGTTGCTGAATTACGAAAATATCACTTTTCAGCAATAATTGAAAGAGTAACCAATACTGTTAATTAATATAAATCGAGTTTACAACGTGATAGTAAACGAAATAATATATGTAAACGAAGTTTAAGATAGCTTAAGATAACGTGTACATAATTGAAACTGTAGGATATTATAACTAATGTCTACGAATAGTCGTAATTTACTGATTAAAAGATTTTCCAGTTTGAAGTTTTGATGGTTATTCATTTTAATTTTTGTATTTCCATTTATGCATCCATTCATTTAACCTTTCATCCGGCAACCCTCCATCCATCTAACTATCCATCCGATCATTCCAGATAGTCCGTTCATCATTCCGTTTTTTTTCTTTCTCTTTCTCCATTTTAATCATTGATTCATCCAGTCATTCTCTTTCCATCCATCTTTAATTCCACGATCCATTTCTCTCTCACAGATACAGAAATAGTCTGAAAGTATGKTCTTTAACAGTTTCACGAATTTAATTAAAATTCTGGCATCTCTTTATTACAATATCTTAAATCCCTCCAAAACGGAACTGTTTTTTGTAATTTTCCTTTATCATGCGTCGTCATTGACACATCAAGAACAGGGCTCTAATGAAATGCCTTTTCGCGCGGAAGTAATATTACCGTAAGGAGTTTCATCTTGCGCACAAGGAACAATGCTACAATACCTTAAACAAACAGAATATTTTCAATTCTTTAAATAATTGTATCTATTTTTTCTATATTTGTGCTTTTTTTCTGCGGTCTTTTTGGCATGTGGACGTGGAGCTTATTGCTAACTGTTAATTTTGTAATAAGGACTCTGTTTGTTCACATAAGTTGCACTTTTGACACTTTTATTGTATATTATCTTATTGGTTCCTTTCAGAAGATCATGAAAATAAAATAAGATTTGATAATAGATACCTTTTTAGGTATCTCGGTGAATGGTCTGAATCTGGTATTCCGGTGACTTTAGAGGCATCAGAAAAGCCCGCTTCAGATAAATTGAAGTCTGTTCAATAAACGTGTTAAAGACTCCCAAAACTTTTGCGATCTTTTCTTAATCCGTTGTTAAAAGTTGGTTTCCGATTGGTTGAAAATAGATACCGCAAACATGCGTTATGATAAGCTTACCCAAAAATAAATCAAAGCAACAAGATGGAAAAGGATAGTGTTGTGATCATCAGATGTCTATTTTACGTATGTGAGAAAAGCGCGCAAAGGTTCTTGGATACAAGTGCCCCTTTAAACATTCAGAGCTCTAAAAATGACAGTTCAAACGATCATAAAAAAGGTACTAAAAAGACAAAACACAAAAACCCTAAAAAATAGAGCAAATCAAGTTGTTCAAACACAATTCACGCAGCTATCMRCTTAGCTTTYCTTACATTCCTGCGACAGCAKGGTATTCATATACATCCTCTACAAACTCATTTATTAGTTTACAGAACGTCTGACCACTAGCAATTAAAGTGATCACAGATTGACGCCTTTTGGACACATCTGATCTATCAGTTAAGAAAATAGACGCAAAATCACCTCTACTCTAATTCTGGACGTTGCGTATTGATGAAGAGGAGGGCYTAAGCATTCTAATGTTGRGGCGAGCTATATAATGCCATAAGCACMTTCTGCGCCGGASATTAAAGACATCTAGTTCTGATAGCTCGCATCGCGTAGTAACTGAAGATTTGAGCTCGGAAATCATTCAGGTAAGATAGGCATTCTTATACTGTGTATCCAAAATTGAAAAAAAAACTCGGTATAGCCACTATTTCTATAAACTCTAAGCCATTCCMGTTTTTTTGAAACTTGCAAAGGATCTCAGTTGAATATCAAAAAGTCGAAAGGAGATTTTTCATTATGATATTTGATACACTTTGTCATTTTTCATTTTACATTCAATTCTTTTGATTTAGTGGGAGACTTGAATTGCTTTATTACTGAAAATATGCCCTTTTAGCGGGATATCCTTTCAGTGAGGCCGCTTTCTTTTCGACAATAGGTGAGATGGGTTTTTGTCTACAATTGTATTGCTATAGCTAAATACGAGATGTACATTGGTGGCCTGAGTACTAGCTCCTACATTAAGCTGTAGTTCAAGTTCGTTTTATTGCCGTTGTAACACATGAAGATTCGCTTTCATTCCGTGGCACGTTTCATTGACGTTAGGCCAAAACGTGAGCGAAGATGAAAATATGTTGTATTAATTAAAAAATTAAATTCTAAAAGTCCTTTGAAGCTCTTGTCCTACATGCCCACATAACTTTTAGTAAATTTAGTCTGAAAATAACAGCATATACTCTAAAACCTGTAACTTAAAAAAYGAAACAAAAAGGGTTCTAGAAAAAMATGAAAATGGAAACATACGACTTGCGTCGGAAGTGGATATATTGTTTATTGCGGAGTTAAATATTGTGACGTTTTCATCTGACAGAATTTTCGAGAAAAGTCTCAAAAAATCAAATCTCAACTTGAGAATTTCAAAYAGTACTAATTGACAATTCTAGACGTCTGTCCAAAATGACCATACATGCATTAGAAGAACGACGAAATATTATATTGTGAAAACCGTAGGGCACAACACCTTATTGCTTCTATACAGTTTTTGAAGTAAAGCTATTTTTGCAAATCAAAGGGTTTCATTGTGTTATCATTTTGAATATACGCAGTAACAGGCTCGATAATCTCTTTTGGCTATGGCCGCCATATTGGCTGTTTGGACGATAAAATTGCAGATCTATTTGTCTGGAATACGATTTTCTTAAAGAGGATTTGTTTTGAAGATTACTGAAAGTGAACCGGCGTGGGAAGGAGAAAGTACAATATTTTGAGAACTAAATCGGATTTTGAACTCAAACTCAGTATGTGTCTTTTTCTTGTTTATTTGTTTTTGTTTTGTTTTTGCTTTTTAATTGCTTCAACAAGGGCTAAAATTCCATAAATAGCACACAAAATAAACCCAGACACACAAGCAAATAAATTTATTATAAGAAAAGCAATATTTAGTGTGAATACAACACTTAAGGAGACAGGACACTTATATTGGACAAACAGAAAAGAAWGAGAATTAAAAGCACCATTTCTCTTTCGTGATCCGTATCCATGGTTTTTGTGACCCTCCCTTTGAAAGATATCACTCTAGGGTTGTAACCCTTCCTCATGTTCCACCCTCCACTCCCCCTGTGATAATATTCTGACTAGTCCCTGAACTGGTTGTCTTGTGACCCTCCTTTTAAAGTTATCACCCTTCCTTATGTTCCACCCTCCCCTCCCCTCCCCTCGTGATAATATTCCGACTAGTCCCTTAACTGATTGTTTATTGTTTTTGAAAGTTATCACTGGGGTTGTAACCCTTACTCATATTCTACCCTCCCCTCCCCTGGTGCTAATATTCAGACCAGTATCTTTACTGGCTGTACATGACGGAGATAATGGTGAAAAATTACAATAACGAAAACAAACATGATATTTTTACAGTTACATGTTAACCATGCGGCAACTATAACTTAATTTATCGTTTTCAGTTTATTGTATGGACTTTATCCACTTTAAAGAATATATTTTCAAAGTAAAAATAGCAACTGGATATCATATATCGTCTATTTTGAGCAAACGTGTTGTTTTGATGGTTCTGTAGTTTTCAAGTCCCTCGCCGCCAATCGATAATTGTCGGTTRRCATTAAGGTTTTGGCACACATGTGATTTCTACCGAAGCTTTAAGAAAGAAAAAAAAGGAGAGATATTGCTTTTGAAGTAGAGATAATGATTGAAATTACACGATGGAATATCAAACCATTTTATCATTTTATCACATCACTTTTTTTTTAATTTTTACCAGATGGATCGATCAACTCTGCTAAATCGCGATCAAACAATGCAAAACAAATAATGRAGTACTACAATAATAGCACCGAACAGCGACTTTTATTTCATTCGGAACCACTATTCATCAGTTTTGTTTGTTCATTTTGTTTTCTCACTGCCATTTATGACGTCGAGTTAGACAAACAAGATTTCGATTTGAAAAAGTAAGGAAATCTTAAGTGTGTTTTGATTGGATCACCTTTGGAGTGGTACAAGCTGGTAGGTTCGTGATAGGTGCGTCSAACGGAGCTTCAAACACACGGAAAACCCCACACCTACAGAAATATCAGCAAGCTGAACTACTAGCGCTTCTATAGAAGGTTCTTGCTTCCTAACCTACGTAAATATAAGACTTTATTTTTGAGACTTMAAAAGTTTTGTTGCTGTTTTTATGCCTTGCATGATACAGTGACAAAATCCGATTTGAGATTTTTCATAAATCAGATCCGACGTTTAAATCCTGCTTTTATAGAGGAGTGAAAATCTGCTTAACACTAGTATTTGATTGCTTTGTTTCAGCTTTTGTGGGCTGTTATTTTCTTTCAGACTCCGTTGCAGGAGTGCAAGGAACCATATTTGGATTGTAAAYCACCACTGGCCAGATGAATGCATCTAAAAATGGTAACAAAGCTTACTTAAAGTTAAAAATATATATATAACTAAAACACATAAGTTCATCCTTTACTTTTGTTTATATTTTTTAGATAGTATTTTTTTGTTTTGCTTAATCCATCATGCCTTTATATCAGCACAATCAATATAGCATGAGTATCAATATGCTGAAGAAAGATTTCTTCATTCTGAACTGCTGAACTGACACAATTGCGAAAAAGATTAGTATTGCATTTTGATGGAATGCGCAAAKATCTTGGATTATTACAATACCATCTTAATGTTTCCTGCTGAAAAGAAGCCTAAGGCTTCGTAATGTATTTTCTAATACAAACATTGTGTATGAAGTGCATTAGAAATATCATAAAAGTTGTAATATTTTATTCTTGAATTCATATCCTTTTCGGGGGAAGTAACAGTGCAGCAAATTTCCTGAACCACTTTTTTAAATACATTTTGTGTCATACATTATGATTATTGATTAGACAGCAKATTARATACTGAAAATCACTTMCAAAWCATTTTATACGGCCATTGTAGCTTTACCATTTACACATTAGTTAAAGTGTAATACAACGKGACATTTCTTGTCTGCAGAGTCAATAACAGCTGAGTTCAACGCGTCTCTTCCAGAATCAAATGCTATAGAGATGTCAACCCAAATTGGCATGATTGCTGCGTACTCCATTATTTTTCTTCTTGCGCTGTCAGGAAATGGCCTTATCATCCATATCGTCGTTAGCAAGCCTTACATGCGTTCTACTATTAATTTTCTCATCGCAAACATGGCGGCAGCTGACTTGATGATGACCTTATTTGCGATGCCCTATACAATTTATTTCCTGTATTTTGGAAGTCAGTGGTTTGGTGGAGTTTTGGGGAATTTGACATGCAAGGTATGTCATTTTTAGGCAGACGAAAAATAGAGCTAGTAAAGACTGGTTTACACTATTGCATAAGCACAGACATAAGACTAGACAAAACAAAGAAATGAAAAGGGTGTGACATAAGACATAGACAAATAGGCGTAAGCAAAATGGAGTAAGCATAATGGCATAAGGCCAAGCATAACATAATCAAAGATGAAACTGAAGAGCAACAAAAAATATATCTTCCTTTTGGTTTTGTAATCCTCKTAATTCTAAAAGCTATCGTTATGCCCCTTAAGCTTATTASCGTAAAGAAAAAKCAGGCTTAGGGGAAGTAATAGAGGAGAAGAGAGGAGACGATATGTAGACTCACTAGAAGAAACGATAGTAAAGGAGAAATTACAAGAAATTATATCAAAGGAGATTTAGTGAAAACAGGCAGAGCAAACATCTCCATGAAAATCTTATAAAGAACATTCTTTAAAGCAATGTTTTTTCCACGCACAGGCAGTCCACTTCACTATCGGTTTATCCATAGCAGCCTCGATCTCAACACTAATTGTCATTTCRCTGGACCGTTTCTTCGCTATTGTCTACCCATTTCGCCGTTCAAGCGTCATCAAGAAGATCCCCATCACCATAACAACCACCTGGGTGACGTCAGCGCTTCTTCTCAGCCCTTATTTGTACATATACAAAGTGCAGCTCAAGGGAGGTTACATGTGTATGGTGTCCATTGGTGATAACTCYATGAAGTCTCTTGGAATCTACCACGCTATTACATTTGGTGTTCTGTACATCATTCCTCTGACGCTAATAGCAGCTTTCTACTTCGCCGTCTGTAGAAAACTCTGGCTGCGCAAAATTCCTGGAAATCCATCGGCCATGAATTTGAGAAGTGCCAACAAGTCCAAGAAGAGAACCATTAAGATGCTGATCATCATCGTGGTCGTGTTTGCACTTTGTTGGCTTCCTGCTCACGTGATGCATATCATTATATTCTTCAACTACGATGCTTTTAAGAAATTCCCACAGTATGCTTCCTTGCTTGCTTTCTTCTTTTCTCACGCTAACTCGGCTATCAATCCTTTRCTGTACATCACTCTGAACAAGAACTTCATGCATGCCTTCATAGACATCACTGAGAAGCTACAACTCTGGAGAACATCGCACAGTACACGGCGAACCAAGAGCTTGACGACTACCTCGTTAACGAACCTCTCAGTAATCGTTCACGAGAATCAGATCATAATGTCATTTCGATCATCGCCCACAGGAAGGATTGGTCGATATAATATGAATGGTGTCGAGGAATCAGATGTGATCGAAAGCCTAAAGAAAGCCACCTTAGTTAGCGCAAGCTGCATTTCAAAGCTTTAGGGACATGAATGTCTGAACATAACTCTCTCATAGACTACTCCTGACAAATTTGAAACAACGTTTCTTTCCTCAAGCACCAGTTCTCCAGGAAGAGCTACTAGAGAGACGCTAGACCTAGTATCTGCTGTACTGACTAGCTACACGAGGACTGTTTCACGAAATGTCCTCTTAGCAGAGATCAGGAGGGGCTCCTGTAGAGATCTAGTGGAG